TGTGTTCTATGTCCACTCATGTGCTAAAGTCAAATTAAGTTAATTATGTGCCGACACGTTTAATCAGATAGCATGTTGTTCATACTTAATTACTGTTAATTTGCATCACGCATTCGAAAATCCAGTAGCAGTGCATCTATATTTATTTTTTTATCAATAAACTATAATTTAAATTAAAAAAAACTCTTATAAAAAATTGAATTAATAAATAAAAATGTGTTGTTTTTTTTTCCTATGGAAAATAATTCACCCTGATCAATAAGTTTTGTCAATTAAAGAAACTTACCAGTATTACACTTCCTATATGTTGCCATCTGTCACAAGCATCACAAGTGATTGCGGCAGTGCCTCCTGCCGTTTCCGCAAAACACTTCTACAGTCTATACAATTATCAGTCATTTTCAATAACTAACACTTTTTACAATTTATTAATTTGACAAAGTTATTAAAAAGAACAAATAACAATTTTTACAATTAAGTCCATCAATGTAAATGATTTTCAAAAAAAGGAAAATATCAATGCACAACCTACATACATGTAAAGATTGTTAAAATCACCGAATTCAATGCATGGTAATTTGAGACAATGGCTGAATTGATTAAAGACATCATGTATTGCAAATAAATATAGAAATCAATCAACAACCATACCACACTTTTATAATTACATTAATAACAATTATCACTAGCATCAAAGCTGTTTCAATTTTTTAAATGAATTATTTTTAATTGGGTATGTTTATGTGAATTATGCAATTTCAGTAAATAACTTTATTTTAACCACAGATTTATATTATTATGTTATATAAATCTGTGTTTTAACCAAAATATGACGTTTCACAAAAAAAAACTTAAGTGGCCGATTTGACTTGTTTTGAGGCCCATTTGACTAGTTTTGGGGCCGATTTGACTTTTTGAAATTGTTGTGTGGCCGACTTGACTCATTTTGTGGCCGATTTGACTAATTTTGGGGCCATTTCGACTTGGGGCCGATCTGACTTGGGGCCGATTTGACTAGTTTGAACCATATAAACTTGAAATTTACACAAAATTACATAATCAGGGAAAATGTTAAAGATTAAAACATTAACAATTACTGCAATATATCCTGTGTGACCTATATTTGTACCATGGTTACATTTTCTTAACGGCAAATCAAGAACTGACAGGAACACAGGAGAAAATATTCAATTTCATATTCTTGGGATAATCTACAACTAAAAAAAAAAACAATTTGAAAACATATAGTAAGCAAATACCAACAATTTAGATCAATAACATTTTTTTTGACATCCCTATTGAACATCGGTATTTGGAGAAGGTTTGGTGGGGGATCTGTAAAATCATCAAAATGTCTCACACATAAAATTAACAACTGCATTTTTTTGTGAGGAAAACAATATTGATATATGATTACCTATTTATAATAAGAATTTCCTGTCAGTGTCTTTGTTAAGATTGAAGATTGGACAGTAAGTGATCTCAATATTGGCCCCACATAAAACCATGATAGTCCAAATTTGCAATAAGGTTAGATTTAGTCCACTGGTCTCCAGCACTCCAGTTTAAAGGTCAAGGTCACATGCATATGTCCAAAGTTGTGATTAAAGTGTATCTGTTCAAACAGAATGGTCTGGAGTTGGATCAATTTTACGAAAAAAGATGTCTCAGTTGAACCACAACATAAGGTTATCTCTGCTGACTGTGATCTGGCATAGTACACCACCATTCAAAAAATCAAATTATAAGATAATGTTTTGTTAAGTCAATCAAAAAATTACTGAAAATTTATCCTGGCTTCATTACATTATCTGAGTTTTTACTTTAAAAAAGTAACAATTTTTATTTTGCGATGAAATTAGGAATTTTTCATTCCAAGTGTCAAAGTAAAAATCTATTTTTTTACAGCTCATATTTGAAAATAGGTCTGAGTTTCATAAGTATTTTTTAAATTTATGCATTGTTCAATGATAAAATAGAAATAGATTTTACAGAGAAAAATGTTATTTAATTATCTTATCATGTAAAAAGTAAATATTTCACAATTTTAGTAACAAATGTTTCATGTTTAATTGACTCTTTTTCAAAATGGCGCCATTTATCGACAAATATTGTGAACAAGCAATCTACGTTTTTCAACATATATGTTTTTTAAAACATTATTTTCTGAAATAATTATCATTTTTTCGATGAATTGAAAGATTTTTAAGGAACATCATGTCGTTAGAATTTTAATTTTTGCTATTTTATTTAATTTTCACCCTTTTCTTGAACACTAACATAATTTGCGTACAGCAAACTATACCAAGTTATACTGACACAAGTTTAATTGTAGCGGGAAGTGTTTACTTAGCGCGTTTCCAGACCATTCTTTTTGAAAGATCCTGGGTCAACTAACTTGTCAATTCCCTGATTTAAAACTTTAACTTGTCATTTATGGGTAACGGACAATCAACATGATGATGATCAAGATGGTCAAGGTCACAGTTTCATGTCTTGACCTAGTATGTCAAAAATGAAGAAACATTATAGGGAATTTCTATAAAAATCTAGCTAATTTATTATGATTCGGAAAGGTTCAAAAAGCATTTTGCTAAGTAGAAAAGTTTTTATTTCCATGTAAATGATCATATCTTAAAGTTATGTAATGCCTTATCACAGTAATTAGGTTAGGCATTAAATACAATGTAATTTTCTTTTATATAAATAATTGTCATGTAGGTTGTTATATTCTAATATTGGGCTTAGATTTGCATTCAAACATCTGTTGAATCGTATACTGTAAATGTTTTTTCTTATTCTAAGGGTAAGTCAGTGAAAACATATTGTCCCGATGTGTTTAAAAACTTGTATTGAAGTGGATAGGTCTACAATGGGCTCATTTTCAAGTATTTCAAATATTAATTAAAGCAATAGAAATGTACCATTAGGATATTTTACTTAAGATACTCCTTTAAAAAAATCAAAGCACAAAAGGTGCTGAATTTGTTTGGGTCTCAGAATGTCAGAAAGGTGAAGGTTGTGAGATTATAAACCAATTAATTGTTTTTGTATTAAGTGCCACCAATGCTGTTTCCAGTGTTATAATTGTAGCAAATTGGCTATAAGGCTAATTGCAACACTGATATTCAATTCAATGTTTATTTGGCTTAAACAATTAAAAAAAAAAAAGTTGCCTTATCTGGGATTTGAAGTCCAGACCTCTCGCTTCCTAACAGAGCGTGTGAAGTTATAATACAACTGCTTGAAGAAAAGCACTTTATTCTAAATAAGAGCTTGTAAACCTTATTAATTTTACAGTAAACCTGTTGTTTAACACTGATGTAAATAATCATGGAGCTTAATATAAGCATGTTTATCTGTAAAGAATAACACAATATTAGAAATCTTCGACCAATTGGGAACTACTTTTTCTTCCCCAAGAATGGCTTGAAAATTAATGCGCCTGTCATTTGACAATCTTTATGCAGTGATTTCCCCTTAATTTTCGGCGTTAGTGTACTTATAAAGGGAAGTAAAGGCTTCGAGGAGTTTGGACTACTTTCGGTATTTGCAAATAAGCACATCGGGGTCTGAAATTTCTCTATCATTATTTGTTTGGTCTGACGACTTGTGATGTTGTGATTGTCGCAAGTCGCCGATAATCAGTTACTGTTGTGTAAACAGGGCTGCCGATTTCCGCAAATCCGCGGATTTCGTTAGCTCCTGGGTCATTTTTGAGATCGATGTAAAAACGACAAAGACAATAAATTCATTCGTCATATTTTATACTGTACCCAAAAACCGGCACGCTTCGGCTTTTATCGTTACGCTAGCCGCCTATGGTACGTCTGTAAGCGCTTTTCTCATTGGTCAAATCGAGTCTTTTACGGCATTCTATTTTAGAATAACCAATCAAATTACAGTTTACATTGTCTCTCTTGTCTGTTGTCAAAATGCGTCAAAATGTCGGATATTTGTTTTGGGGGCTGATGAAAACCTGAAGTCCAACTAAAGTGTCTCTGAATGGCTTAAAGGCAACCAAGGAAGTCAAATTTAGAGTCCAGGAAATTGATTTTAGGTCATACCAAATCATCAGAATCCAGGAGGTTCTGTGGGCTACGCACCCGGGGCCGCCACTAGGGCTCTGCCCCTGGACCCGCAAAGGGGGCTTGCGCAGCCCCCTTGACCCCCGGTGTATTTTCCTCTGATTTTGCAATTTGCTGTTGGCAGCCCTGTGTAAAGCTACAATAATCAATTCACAAAAATTTGTTCTGCGACATCGTCAAAAATGTGTAATAGTATCAAAGGGAATTAATTCTCACGGTAATTTTCTTTGCCAAATGCAAAAAAATTATCTCGGAGACAATTTGGAGTTGAAGAAGATCAATACGTGATGTAAACAATAGTAATATAATGTGATGTGAATGTTATTTTTTGACATCCATTGAAAAATAAAATCTTTTTCATAAAAGTATGACTTTATAAGGTGAAAACTGTGAGTAAAATGTGCTTAATGAAGTTCATGTTACTGAATATAATCAAGAAATGTTTCTTCCCTATTTCTTTGTAACGCGACCTAATTTATTAAAAAGTTATCGATTATGGCCCATCCGATCGAACGGATGATCGATTGGGACAAATTTCATCCGATTTCCATCACTTCTGACGACCCAAACAAATAAAAACTGTTGATAAAGTCAGAGACATTTAGTATCATGACATTAATACAATGAATGTAATATATTGTTGTAGAACAATTTATTTTATGCTAATTATAGATTATGTATTATTGGATTATGTATCTCAAATTTGTCAACAACTTGCATATGTGATTATTTTGTGGCTCATTGTTATGTCTGATACAAGATACTAATCTTATTATCAACTTATTTATTATACTACAAATCTTCGATTTAATACAGACCATTTTACTTTAATTTACAATTGATCTATATTGAAAAATATAAATGAAGTTCATGTTTTAATTTCTTAAAAGTCATTTTTGTTCTTGAAGGTAAACTGCAAGAATGGCAGCACAAGCAAAAGGGAAAAGCAGGGTCAAAAATCTGAAAGTATTTTTTGAAAAAGTTGACGAGGATTTGAAACAGAACAAAACAGATGAGCTTTGTAAGACAATTCGAAAAGACAAAAACGTGTGGAAGACATTTTCTGATCTGCATGACATTTTGAAAAAGGTTTGATGAAGTTAAAAATGTTACTCAAAATAGTTTTGATAACACTTTATAAAAAAATATATATTAATTTTCATGTTGTCATTGCTATTGCTGTTGCTGTTGCCATCTCACCTTTTTAAAGGGATACTCAAGCAAATTAATGACAAAAATATTAAAATGATCTTATGTACTCAAATCTCGCTAAAATGACAATTTGGAAAGTCTAAGGATGAATTTCTGTATAAATTCTATATAATTTGGGTTTTAAGCCTAAATACATCTATATATGTTGACCAAAATCTAGACACCGACAGAATCACTGCAGTGTTTTTTTTCTTTATATAATTACTACCCTAAAACTGTACTGATCCCAATAGAAAATAGACATTAAAATTCCCAATTTTCAATGTTTAAATTCCCAAAATGGCTGTTCAAAATTCCCACAATCAGTCTGGTACCGGCACCATTCCCAAAGAAGAGAAAAAAAACACTGCACTGAGTAGTTTTAAAACTAGTCACGTGACTTGAATAAACTCTTGAAGTTACAATAACAGATATTGTGGATATTGTATGATTGAAACAAGTCTAAGCCATTCATTTGACATGTTCCTTAACCTTTCTAGAGTTCACTGTGACAGCTATTGTGAAATCTTAACACTCTAACCTGACTCATGTGGGTCAAGTTAAGAAACCACCATTTTATTCTTTATATGGACATTTTTTTTTTTCAAATGAGTGTCTAGTGTATTCATTTTGAGAAAATTTACAGAATAATGAATGAAAAATTCAAAACAAAGAAATGAAAAATTTGCCTGTGTTTCCCTTTAAAGTAAAAATGGGGATAAAGAAATGGGCTCCCTCAGTCTGTCTGTCTGTCTGACAGTCGGTCTATCTCTTTTCCCCGGGTGAGTGTGCATCATGTGAATTTCAGTTTAGCTACACCCCTGGCTCCTATCTGGGAAAATCAGTAATTTTGAAAACCATAGAGAAAATGCTGCAAAATTCTATTTCTTTAAAAAAAAGGAAAAAAAAAAAAAAAAAAAAAAAGAAACATATTCACATTTCTTACATGTTCCTAATTTTATTCAAAATGAAAAAGGTCCAGAAAACGCCCCCATGAAATTTGAATATAAAAACCAGAAATGATGCTAATATATTCCTTGTCAAATATAAATTAGGAAGTCAAGTATAAGAGCAGCATCAAAAACAATGTAATCTGTTCTGTCAAGGTTTGTAACTATCCATAGACTGATTTTTAATGTATAAAAATAACTTGGCAACATTTTTTATTAGCTAACCTGAGGACAATTGTGATGGCCCATTGTCCATCGTCCATCTTCATCCGTCCGTGCATCAACAATTTCTTTAAACAACCTCTCCTCCTAAAGCACTTGGCCATTTGTTGAAACTTTGCAGGGATGTTTCTTGCATGAAGTTCTCCCAAAGTTGTGCAAAGAATTAAATTCCGCAACCAAAAGATTTTTTTACAAAAATCTTAAAAAGTCTTCTTTTAAAAAAACAAAAGAGCTATAGCTTAGATATTTGGCATTAAACATTTTCTAGTGGATGTCTACCAAGTTTGTTCTAATAAAAGCCCTAGGGTCAAAATTGGCCCCACCCCAGGGGTCATTGATTTTCTTATATGTTACAATATAGCTAAAACTTAAAAAAATCTTCTTAAGAGGTAGAGCTTAGATATTTGCCATGAAACATCTTCTAATAGATGTCTACCAAGTTTGTTTAAATAAATGCCCTAGGGTCAAAATTGACCCTGCCCCAGGGGTCATTGATTTTCATTATATGTATATTAAGTAAAAACCTAAAAAAATATTCTTCTGACAATCCAAAAGCACTATAGATAAGATATTGAGCATGAAACATCTTCTAGTGGATATCTAACAAGCTTGTTCAAATAAAAGCATTAGGGTAAAGATTTGCCCTGCCGCAGGTGTTAATGATTTTCCTAATATTATAGTAAAAACTTAAAAACTTTTCTTGTGAAAATCCAGACAAGGTAGAGTTTAGATTTTTTGCATGAAACATCTTATAGTGGATGTCCACCAAGTTTGTTCAAATGAAACCCCTAGGGTCAAAATGGACTCCCGCCCCAGGCACTTACGAACTTTCGCTATACGTATATGCAGTATTTCGATAGAGCGGAAGTCAGTGCGCGAGCATGCGCTTTGCCATATCTCGTTCAGTTACCGCTCACGTTTTAAACTCGGTTGCTATGAAGCGACACTAAGCGTACATGGCTTTTACAACTAAAATATCAGACAAACACATTAAAACAATACACAAAAACTACATATAGTTTTTTCTATATTAATAACTGATAGTCAAACAAATATCTCAATATTCTTACCGATTTAATGTATTTTTTACATGTGATGACAGCAACGCTGTGTGTTAGATTACTTTCGGTTCAGAAAATTCATTTGTTTACCATCAAAACTCATATGTTTACCATAGGAACCATATATAGATAGAAAGCAAATTAAACAAAGGTAAAGAAAAAATTGTCCGTTTCTGAACAAAAAATCGAATAAATAAATACAAAGTCTTTTTAAAAGGTCCCTTCTTTAAGTTCATTTGAAAGGGGAATAATTTGGTTGGATTTTAGACAGGGAAAACAGGGAGTTATCTTTCATGGCTAGGGAATATGGCCGACTGAAATCATGCAAGCAAGTTTGTAAGTGCCAGGGTGTCATTGATTTTCCTTATAATTATGCATATAGTAAAAACTTAAAAAAATTTTCTTGTGGCATTTATTCAAAACCGCTATAGATTAGGTATTTGGCATGAAACATCTTCTAGTGGATAATCTTACCAAGTTTGTTCAAATAAATGCCCTAGGGTCAAAATTGGCCCTGCCCCAGGGATCATTGATTTTCCTTATATATATATAGCAAAAACTAAAAAAAATATTCTTGTGACAATCCAAAAGAGCTAGAGCTTAGATATGTGGCAGAAAAAATCTATTAGTAGATGTCTGCGAAGTTTGTTTTAATAAAAGCCTTAGGGTCAAAATTAGCCCGCCCCAGGGGTCATTGATTTTCCTAATATGTATATAGTAAAAACTTAAAAAATCTACTTGTGAGAATCAAAAAAAAAGGTAGAGCTTAAATATTTGGCATGACACATCTTCTAGTGGATGTCTACCAAGTTTGTTCAAAAGAAACACCTAGGGTCAAAATTGACCCCTGCCCCAGGATGTCATTGATTTTTATGCCACCGCAGCATCTGCAATGCGGTGGCATTTAGCGATTCACCTGTGTGTGTGTGTGCGTGTGTGTGTGCGCGTGCGTGAGTGTGTGTGTGTGTTATATAGATTATAATTTATATTGAACTTAAAAAATCTTCTTGTGAAAAACCACTAGTCCAATTTCAACCAAACTTGGCAGGATTGATCCTTGGGTGAAGGGCTTCCAAAGTTGTTCAAAGAATTTCATTCCATGCAGAAATCTGGTTGCCATGGCAACCAAAATGAATTGTAAGAATAAATTTAAAAAATCTTCTTGTAAAGACCCACAAGGCCTAGAGCATAGATATTTTGCATAAGGCATTGTCTGGTAGGCCTCTACCAAGATTGTTCAAATTATAGCCCTGGAGTCAAAATTGGCCCAGCCCCGGGGGTCATTGATTTTCACTATATGTACATATAGTAAAAACTAAAATACCTTCTTGTCTGAAGGTACAAGGCTTAGAGCTTTGATATTTGGTATATGTATATCATCTATAGGTACTCTACCAAAGTTGTTCAAATTTTGCCTCTTGCATCAAAATTAGCCACGCCCTGGGGGTCATAGGTTTACCTTTATATGTATATAGTTAAAACTTAAAAAATCATCTCCTCGAAATTGACAAAGCGTGGGCTTAGCGCAAAACGGTTGTAACTCACTTTTTTCCACAAAATAACATTTTTGACATTTTCAATGTATTTTGTGGTTATGCATATCCTCAGTAAGTATTTTAAATGGATTCTGAAAATTAACAAGTTAAATCAATATTTGTCAAAAGGTTGTAACTCAAATTGCTCTTAATTTTCAGGGCAAAATGGTTGTATCTCAAGTTACAACCTTTTTGCGCTGAAAATTCTGATAGTGCAATGGAAGTAAATTAGCATTCTGTTTGTCTTATTTGAATCATCACATGAAAAGGAGGATATAAAGACAGTAGAAAAGGTTTTTGTTTTGATATATCCTAATTAAACCTGAAATATTGGTAAAAAAAAACAACTGAATTTTGATTTTATAATTATTATCTTCATGAAATATATTTAAATGTATATTACACTATAAATAGTTTCAATCTTATAAATTAATTCCAATGAATGAAAAAGATCCACTAGCTGCCACAATAAGCAATTGTTTGATATTAAGTAAATGAAATAACTTTCAAATATTGAAGGACAAATGTCCATATTTCTCCCCCCCCCACCCCCCCCCCCCTCACCTACCCCAATAACAACACATACAGTTTATAAAATGACAAGGTGGACAGATTTAGCCCCCTTATGGATTGAAAATTAGCGCTAGACTTTTTACAGGGCAGACAAATGTTTCCATATTTTGAAAAATAATGCAAGTACATCAAGTAGATCTAATTCAGAATATCTTCAGTTTATGCTCATAGTAGCAAACTTAAATTGTTGTAGGCACATTAAGTCTGTTCATGGAAGGTATGTCAAGGCCACCTAGCTCAGACCCATAATGCTTCAGAAATGCTTTTATTTTTATTTCTCAAAAGTTTCTAAATCTTAGTGTTCTTATCAAGAAAGTTACTCATGGCAAATTACCTGAACAATCTTTTTCATCTTATGCAATTTTGAAAGAAGTACAGTTATGTACAGTGAATTAGTATTCTTTGTGGAAGTCAATACTACCAGTGCTTTGATTACATTTTGCTACTTTTATGACAAATTATATTACTTTTATCACCATTTTCTTCATGGTACAAGCATCTTACATTCTCAAAAACCATATTATTATTGTGAATGGCTTAGAAAACTGCTATAGTAT